ACTTGTTTTGTCACACTTCCTGCTCTGACTAGAAGTATTATCTTGCCGACGGGCCACTCTGGCATGGAGTTAAATCCAATTAGGGGAGAAACTACAGGCGCCAAGTCTTTGTCTTGTAACTTTAGTTGTTTAAATGTGTCGTAGTACATGGTCTCACATGAACTACCCTAGTCAATCAAAATCCGCTTGACGTCAAAATCCTTGACTCGGAGAGTGATGACCAAAGCATCATTGTGAGGACAGTATATTCGATCCAAGTCCTTATCCGAAAAGGACATAACATTTGTTGCTTCTGTCTTTCCCTTCTTGATGGCAGGTTGGGCACTTAGCACCTCTCTAAAGTGCTCAGCCTTCTTGATTGATCCCCTGAGCTCGCATACACGCTCAGGTTCAAAGACTCCATGTATTACATTGATAATGCCTTGAGGTGGGGCGTCGATTGGCATTCCGTTGGGGTTATTGTGATCCTGGGGGGCTGGCTGTGTCCCTCCTTCAATGTATTTGTCCAAGTGGCCTGCTGCCACCAATTCTTCCAAGTGCTGTCTCAGTGGCGTGCAATTCTCAGTTCGGTGCCCCTTTTCTTTGTGGAAGGTGCACCGTGATCTGTCGTCGTAGTCTTTCTGAGCTTCTCCCAATTTGGCTGGCCACTTGACGTAAGGCTCGTCCTTTATTTCGCTCAGAATCCGATATATCGGTTTTTTGAATACCGTTGTTATGGCAGTGCGGATTCTCAACCATCTTTTGTTTGGGTCTTCTCCGTTATCTCGTTTGCCACGTCCGTTTCTATTCTGCCGATCTACTGCATTGACTTTTGCTGGGGTCTTCTTTTCTGGTACTGCGGTCGCACTAGATTTTACTTTTGCACGTGCGCCATCCTCTTCTACCCTGATGTGCTGATGCACTCTCTCCATCAGGGCTTCCATGGTAAGGGGTGGCGTCATGGTGATAGAGTCCCTTAGTCTGTTTCCGACTGGAAGGCATCTTTTAGCAATGGCAAGATTGGTGGGGCAGTCCCCAATCTGATTGAATGTTTCCCAGTAGCGACTGTTGTAGGATCTAAGGGTCTCTTTATCCCCCATGTCGATGGAGAGTAACTGGTGTATCTCCACCGGCGTTTTAGTGTTTGTTCGAAACCTTGTTACAAATGCTTCTGCCAGTTGAGCCCAGGAGGCTATGCTGCCCTCTGGGAGCTTTTCAAACCAAGTCAAGCCTAGGTCGGCAAGACTTGATGGGAAGAGTATGCACATTAAGGCCTCGTTTCGTCTGTATACAGCCATGACTTGGCGGAAGTGGCTCAAGTGTGAGTACAGGTCTGTCTTCCCTTCATAAGTGGTGAATTTCGGCTGAAGGAAGCCTGATGGTAGGGGTGCGTTCTCGATTGCTGGAACAAACGGCGAAGTCTGTAGTCTTGCTAAGGCTTTGTCCGTTGGTTCGTAGGCAGGGCGCGGTATTGGCATTCCAACCTCGACGCTTCCATGCGTTCGAGGAGCCAACCGCTGTAAGGCAGAAACTCGGTGTGGATCCCTTGCCCTGGCATCCTCCTTGCATCGTGCTTTTTCTTCGAGCACGGTTCGTAAGTCGGATGACCTGGGCAGCTCTGTCTGTCTAGATCTGGTTTGGTGTGAATGTGAAGGCCAATACGTGCTTCCTTCAGTGTATGATCTCTCAGATCTCGTCCTCTCGGACCTAGAGTGACGAGTTCTGGAAGACAAGGATTGAGTGTCGCCTATCCTGAGGCTTCTGCTTTCTCCTTGTGAGGGTGTAGTATTCCTACTACGATTTTCTGAGTGGCGAGGGGGCGTCTTGTTTTTGCGCCCCTCTCCTGTCGCCACTTCTTTTTTCTTCATCTAGCGTTTCAAGGCCTCCATGTCCGCCACCATCTTTCTTATCAATTCATCTTGTTCTTTCACGCGGTCTTCCAGAGCTTGAGGGTCAATCCTCCGTCTTTGCCGGTCGGGACTCTGAGAGTGACGAGGACTGTTATTCCGCCTTCCCCTGCCACCCCTCCTGGAGGTATGTCTTTTGGGGCTGCAAGTCCGCCATGGGAGGGACAGAAGGTAATCTTCAAGGGTCTTGCGCCCGCTTCTGGAGTCAGCGCGTGACGGCGGACTGCGGTAGTTCTTAATGTGTGCATTGATTGAGAAATGAGAAGCTTTAGTCAAGGGTTTTTTGTCCTGTTCTGTTGTTTGCCACAGACTGGCGCCAATTGTACGGAAGAAATACGCCTTCATGTATAATCTGTTGACCAAGTCCAGCTCTCCGTACAACGTTGCTTTTGTCACTGAAAACACAAACGTGAGCTAGCCGGTCGGTGGTTTGCGGAAACCTCTCGTGCTAAGTCAGTAACTTTTGAACAAATAGAAAAAAGCTCTCTGTTCTCAGAAAAATTGTGTTGTGTCAAATTAACATCCTCAAGTGTGTTTGTGGCTTTATAAGTTTCCTGTGGCATAATTCTAGTAGGACTCTTACTTTTCCATGTAGAGTCCTCCTAGGATTCATACTCCTAAGGATAATGCTTATCCTTTTACACCCCCCCCACTGCTTAAACCAAGTGGGATGGTTTTTACTTTGGCCGAACTGCTATATGACCGGACTAAGCTTGGCTATGCAGAGCCAATGAGTAAACCGAACTATTCCTAGTTCGGTTCCACCCTTAACTCTATCCTTATCTCGGTTTTCTCATGTACAACCAATGGTACGGTCTTAGATCGAACCAATGACTTTCGGCCGGTATGACTCCAAGACCGGCATAACTCTAAATCGTTCCTGGACCGAAGTATCTTTATAATTCCTGAGCCGAAGTAATTTTACCTCCCTGGCCGGAGTAACCTTGTTTCTCCTAGGCCGGAGTAACCTTGCCTCTCTTGGGCCGGAGTAACCATTACGGCCTTTTTACTTAGTCCTTCGCACTTTGGGCCACGAAGCCCAACTCGCAGCTCGGCCCAATTTTTCCCAAAAATTACCCTCTCAGTAAGAAATGAAACATATTGTTGATTGTTGGTTTTTACATCCAGTGAAAGAAATTGTGTGGGTTTTTGCGAAATGACATTTACCAAATCATGCCTTGATTGTTAATCAGCTGATCTTCCAGTTAAAACTCTTCTTTTGGGAATGGTTTGCACTGTTAAGGAAAGGTGATGTTTGCTAAAGTTTATAGTTCACTATTATTTATTTATAAAAAATATTAAATATGTTTGTCTATTTTTAATAAAAATATTATAAAATATATTGAGCACACACATTAAAGTAGGGGTGAAAGAATAACCGGAAGGACCGACCGAACCGAACGGTTTTCAGTCGGTGTTTTAAGTTTTCAATCGTTCAATTCGGTTCGGTTTATTTTTTTTGTACATTCGGTTCGGTTTACGATTTTTGGTTTTTTGAACCGAACCGCACCGAACCGAACCGACTTATATAATATTAATAGGCCCAAAATGTGAGGCCCCAAACCTATGTAGGAATTACATGACCTGAGCCCAAATTTTATGCAAAATAGATAGAAATATAGACCCAAAATGTGAGGCCCAACTAGGGGGAAAAAAAAAGGCCAAAAAATCGAAAAACCAAAAAAACCGCACCGCATCGTAATAAACCGAACCGCGCCGGTTTATATTATTTTTTTAGGCGGTTCGGTTCACAAATATGAAAAACCGAAACGATCGGTTCGGTGCAAAATTAGTGAAAAAATCGACCGAACCAAATCGATTTCACCCCTACATTAAAGGATGGCTAAAGGTGGTTGTCAACGGGAGAATGTGGCTGAAGGTGATCGTTAATGATCGCAAGTGGTTGTCATCCTGTTAGAATTGTAGACTGTAATCGGTTGCCAAAGGTAGTTGTTGCAGATTTTCGATGGGAGGTGCAACTAAAGGTAGTTGCCAAAGGTAGTTGTTGGAGATGATTTTTGATAGAAGGTGCAGCTAAAGGTTGTCGTTGGACGGGAAGTGTGATTGAAAGGTGGTTGTTGGTTGTAAAGAGGTGATGGTCGTGTATGAGTGGTCAAAGGTCTAATGATAATAATCAAAGGTAGAGAGGCATCATAGAGGTGGAGGTGATCAAATGTGGTGATGTGGTGGTGGTGATTTAATGTGGGTTGTGATTGGAGAGAAGAAATAATATATATTAGCGGGCGGTACATGTGATGTGTGTGCAATTCAGATAATTAATAATAAAAATAAATAATAAAGAATTTAATATCATAATATGTATATTTTTAATGAAATTTAAAATATTAAATTTAAAACTTATTTATTCTGTATATAATAATTTTTTTGTTTTAACATGTATAAAGTTATCAAGTGATATAAAGAGAATAAAATTTTACTGAACCAACTTCTACTTTCACTTAATAACATATATATATATATATATATATATGTTTTAAACACAAGTGAAATTAGCTTTTTATTGTTATTATTGTTCATAACTTTTGAAAAATTGACAATTCTAGTATGCCAAAAAAGTTGTCCCCAAACTTTATTTAAAAAACACTCAAAGCATGTGGCCCACTCCGTAGTGTCAACTTTCTCATATTATATTGCTTTTAAAAATAAATAAGGTACACATTTTGATATCTCATAAATTTTTATATTAGTACTATAACAATGCTATATTTATTAAATTTGGTGTCACTCAAATTATTTGAATTTATTTATGTTGATCGTTCGGATGATAGGGCAACCACCGCGGTAGACAAGAATTCTGACCGATTGTCCACACAGTTATTTGGAAAGTCATCCGACTAGCACAAATTCAAGAGATTCGAACAACAATAAATTCGATGGAAAAATCATTTCACTAATATTACACAAATAAAAAATATATAAAAACATTGACAAACTATATATATATATATGAACTTTCATTTTTAAATAAAAAATTTCTCAAATAACTTTAATTTTAAAAAATATAAGTTGGTAATAATAAAATTTAAAAATTATGTAAGAAATATTTTTCCCAAAAAAACAACTTTTTGGTACTGTAGAATTACTCCCTATCCATTTTTTCTATAGAATCCAATCCCCTTCTATCTGCTTCTCTTCTACTCGGAAAGCATTAGAATTTTGAATTATACAAACAGATCTCTCCCCAATCTTCCCTCTCAGATCTTCAACCTAATTCAAACTCATTTATACAATCACACAATACATACATATAGAGAGAGATAGATACAGATCTGTAGAGAGAGAGAGAGAGAGAGAGAGAAATGTTAGATCCAGCAAATGATATGCTTCCACCACCGTCTTCTCCAACAATCTCCTCCGTTTCTTCTTCCGATCTCGACGGCGATAGCGATTCTAGTTCAACGATCAATCGGTCTTATATAAGTTCCTATGTACATTTTCAACATTTTTTTGGTTTTTGGTGTACAGTCGACAGGTTCGTTTTTCCATGACCGAAGCACAACTCTGGGGACTCTGATGGGCGTGACCTTCCCTGCAATCACTTTTAGGGCTCCCTCTCAGCACCAGGAATCCAACGCCGCTGCCGCCGGAGGAGTCTCCGCCGCCGCAAATGCCGTCGGCGGCGGAGCGAGGAGGCGGAGCAACAAGGCGAAGAAGACGGCGGCGTTGGTGGCGGTGGCGGAACGGCGGAGACGGCGTTGGTGGAGGCTGTGTAGGGACGAGGATTCGAGGCCGTCGTCGCTCGGCGAGTTCCTTGAGGTCGAGCGGAGGTTCGGCGACGGAGCTTTCTACTGTGCCACGGCGGAGATTGAAGGAGCGATCGGTGCTCAGCCGCCGGACCGACGGTTGCTGTTCGCTGACGGGAGGGTTTTACCACCACCGCCGGCGGAGGATGCTCCGCCGTCGACCGCCGGAGCTCTTTGTAGATTTCCGGTGTCTCTCACCGGGATCTGTAGCGGTGGTGTAGGATAAGATTCGAGTGTTTTTTTTCTTTTTCATTATTTTTCGATTATTTGAAATTCAAACAATTATGATTTTGTATGGAATTTTATTTCTCTGTGTATTTTTTCTGATTTCTTTTTTAATCTCAACAATGTTAGGTATCATGAAAAATTTATCATGAAAATAATTATGAAAAATTTATGACTCTTAAATTACACATAAAATAAAATATTACATACTAATTAAGATAATCTAAAAATTATAAATTTTTCATAATCATTTTCGTGAAAAAAATTTCATAATCCATAATTTTTCTCTTTTAATCTATCTAAATCTATAACTTCATTCTCAAAAATGTTTATATCATTATAATGTGCATGTGAGATTACAAAGGAAACACTATGGAACAAACGCCATTATAATAAAAAATATATATATATACATAATTAATAATGCACATGATATATTTTTTTAAAAATGTTTATATTAAAATTTTTTAAAATTAAAACACTAACAACAACCCAATTTAAAATTCACCATCTAAAAAAAAAAAACAACCACCCTTAAAATTGTTTTTAACATTTATCTTTAAAAAAAATATTCATAAATACTTTCATTACATTTTAATATATTTTTTAAGAGAATTTGATTAAAATTCTCTCGTAATAAAATTTTCATGCATTAAAGATAAATATAAAAAAAAAAATTATTGAAAAGTTTAGCACATATCACTATTATTAAAATATTTTTAATGATAAATTTAATATTTTAAATTTTAAAATAATATAAATTTTTTTATTTACATGTCACTTTTTAATAAGAGTAGTTTTTTTAGCAAGAAAATATTTGAGACCCTAAAAAAACTCCCAAACTTCTACCCGCAATGATTTGTCATATAGTTGACAATTTTTGATTTGTTACAAATGATTGAGGGCTCAATTCCCTTACCACATCATTGTGGGTCAAATATGTGAGGCTTTAATATTACTCTTTTTATCTTCGAAATTAATATCAACAATAAAATTTATTATAAAATTTTAACTTAAATAGTAAAATATCATCATCATCTCTAAATATGATAGTCACTTAATTATAAAAATATAATATTATAGTAAAATTTTATCATAATTCTTAACATATCACTCACCAAACAAAACTTAAATCAAATTGTCATTATTAATTTTCTGAACAAACCAAAGTAAATTATATCGTCATTTATAAACAAAGCGTCACCAAATAAAACTCAAACCAAAGTAAAATTTTATTGTTAAATAAAAACACAATATCAATAAATAAAAGACAGATTATATATTGTCACATCATTCTGGCAAATAAAATTTTTTTATTGACTTTAGTCTCGACAATAAAAATTTTACTCCCTCCGTCCCAAAATATTGGTCCCTTTTGAAGAATCCAACTTTTTTTGGCAGTACACTTATTGCATTTGAAAAAAGTTGGTTTTCCAAAATTACCCTTTTGATAGTACATTTTTTGGGAATATCAATGTCATAATTGTACTTTTTAAATTGTTTATTAATTTAAAAGAAGGACAAAATAGGAAATTTACATTATTTTTGTACTTGATTTATAAAGAGGGACTAATATTTTGGGACAATGAAAAATGGAATAAGGGACTAATATTTTGGGACGGAGGGAGTACTATTTTTTAAAGAAATTTCACGATTAACATGGATCTTATTTGATAGATTTTGATGAGAATTTGAAAAGTATTAAATTTATTAAAAATAGATATATAGATAAAAAAAATTATACCATTTTGAGTTTGAAATATAACATTAGTTACTAAGGGCAAAATTGCCTATAAAAAATAGAATTTTTTTTTTATTATTATTCTTTATGAAGAACATGCTTCTTTTTCAAGGGATTTACTGATTAAAAAAATATTTGATGGTCCTTTTTACTAAAAAGGAGCCCATTGGAGGGTTTTGCCCAAAAAAAAAAAATCCATTTTTTTACACTGTTTCAATACTAACAATGACTTTTAAATTTATTTTTAACATTTACCTTACAAAAATAATTTAAAAAATGCACGAGAGTATGTATTGTGTGGGAATAAGCTATTTTATTAATTTTTTGACTCAAATATGAGATAAAAAAGTTATAGTAGTATTTTTAGAATTAGTTTTTGAATTTTTACGAAAAAATGTAAAAAAAATAGAGAGAAAAAGAACTCTTTTATTTTTTTTTTGGTAGTTTGTTAGCTTTTTAACATTTTTGTTTACCTTTTGACTATTAGGCTAAAACACCAACTCTCCAAACGAGGCCTAAGATAGTTTAGTGACATGCAATATTACAAGTAGGATTGTGTAAAATATTGTTCAATTTGCTAAAATTGTATTGATTCGCACTAATTCGCCCGCTGATTGTAGGTTAGTTTAATCAGAGATTTGAAATTTATAATTTGCATTTGAAACCATCCTGCTCCACTATAGTTAATACATATATTTTTTAAACTTCTAGTAAAATATCAAAATAAAAATTAGTGAGAGAGATTTAATATGTAAAATTTGTTACAAATTAGTCTTATATATGAAAAATATTATGCAAATACTTGATAATTGTTTAAGATTATTCTTTAATCAACTAATAAGTTGAAATAGTCAAAACTACAGTTTGCTTATTTGCCAATATACCATTCACTATTTGATTTATAATTTTACTCACAAAATGTACCGAACTACCCTAATTACAAGCAACAAAAATTACATACAATTTGTGGGGACAACATTACATTTAAAAGCCTTCAAATAACACTAGTGATAGGGCCGCCTGCAAGGCACGCGACAATACATCAATTTTTCATTTTTCATATGTGATTACCTTGTTAATTTGAATTGTTAGAAAAATCTTAGAAGTTTTGTTTTTCCATAAAAGGAACTTTGTAGAAGTAAGAATAAAAAATTATAAGAATATAGAAAGTGAAAATCAGATAAAAATAGAATAAACTGAATTAAAAATCAAAAGCAAGAATCGATCCTGTAAATATAAGATAAAGATTAAAAAAAAATCAAATGCAAATTTGAAGATAAATTATACGAATATAGAAAGAGAAACTTAGATAAATTGCAAAAGTAAAAGAGAGCAAAAAACACAATATGAGATTTAAAACATGTGCTTCTTTTCACATAAGATGCTAAAAATCTTGCATAATTGGTTAAATCACCCGTTTAATTTCTTTAGAACGTTATTTTTGTTCTCCAATCTTTTTGCCTAATTTCATATTGTCATAGAAGTTAGGTTTTGAGATTTATAAATTTATTTATTTATTTATTTCAAATATCCTTGGGTAAAACATAAATTGAAGAAGAAATTTGAATTAGAGTCAAACTCATCTTCTATTTTAAATATTTTGAAAATCTTTTATATCCATGCCATAAGTAATTAAAAAGTGAAATAAAAAATATAAAAAAAGATAAGAAAAAAGAGGGAAATAGAATGAGAGAAGAATGGATGTGCCACGTAGGAAAGA